AAAATATGGAAATAGGCGTCCTTCAAGTCCAATGAGGTGAACCAATCCTCTTTCCTTAGCAGTGCCAAAATATTTTGAAGGGTGGTCATTCGAAACTTTTTTGTCATGATAAAATCGATTCAGATTACGTAAGTCCAAAATCGGACGTAGGCCACCATCTTATTTCGGGAATGTAAAATATCTGGAGTAGAATCCGTGGAGTCCGTCATGTAGAGTTACTTGACGAATTGCTCCTTTACGAAGAAGTTGTTGTATTTCATCAAGCAATACCAGCAAGCATGATGTAAACCGGATCAGACTCGATGGAGGAACGATGTCGAATTCTATCTGACAGCTGTGCTGTATGATGGATAATACCCACCGGTCAGATGTGATGGACTCCCAAATGGGGAGTTGGCTTCTCAGCCGGTCCCCAGATGAGAGGGGGGTGGGTATGGAAGGGATCAGAGGAATGGTTTGCCAGTCCCGTCAACGCTGCCTCCTATCTCTGTCATAACGGCGATGGCCCTGTTGATAACGTTGCTGGGGCTGTTGACGGCGGCATTGCTGTTGCTGTGGCCGGTGCTGGGGCTGTTGCCTAGGCTGATAAGATTGTCTATAAGATGGACGGGTCCATGCCCACTTACGCCTAGGTTGAGTCTGAAGCTCCATCCGTCGGGCCATCATGCGGGACTTGTGGAGTTTTTTCAGCTTGTGGTCAGTCCTGGAGTGGAAAAGCCCAGGCCCATTAAAGGGCATTTCCTCAATTCGCCACTTAGTCTCCTCCAGAAAATTGGAACTCCTTAACCAGGCATGTCTGTGGAGAGAGACAGCACCGATCAAGGCTCTTGAGTCAGTGTCCACATGATGCCTGGCTGTGGACAACTGTTGGACGGCAATCTGCATCGCCTCCTTTATCAGCACCTTCACCAGATCACCCTGGTGGTCTGGAGGGTAGAGACGACATTGTGGAGGCGCTGCATTATAAAGTATTGGTACCTCGTCAATGTCGCCTTGTAGTTGGAAATACGCAGCCCCAGGCCTGAGGTTGCGTAGACTCTCCTGGCCAGGGAGTCGATCTTACGTCCCTCTTTGTCCTTCGGTGTGGTGTGGCCTCTTGCCTCTCTACCCTGGGAGGACTCCACCATGACTGAGTTCAGCTTGGGGTGGCAGAGGAGGAAGGGAATGTCCACCTCCCGAACCCGGTACATGGATTCGTACCTCCGAGATGTGGGTTGAGGGTGAGAAGGCAAGTCCCAGGGTTGCGTCATCGCCTGTCGTAAGGTGGTAATCAACGGCAGGATGATTGAGGTGGACTGCTCCCCATGGACGACGTAGTAAAACTTGTCCGTAGAAGGTCCCGGACGCTGGACGGCATCAATGTCAAGGGACTGGACAAGCCGAGACATCAGCTCCGCGAAGGAGACATGCGATTCATCCGGTGACGCAGGGCCCTGGAAGGTCACAGCAACGTAAGGAGAGGTTGAATTGACCTACGAGTCGTCGGAGTCCGCACCATAATACAGAGGAGCCCAAGACGAGGACTCCACTGGAGAGATGGACTGGCTACTTTCATCCCGAGGAGGTACTGGGGATGTGCGCCTCAGACCCGAGGACAGTGGACGGTCACGGGAAGGTGGTGAAGACCGACTCCTAGGTACGGGATAGTACTCGACAGAGTGTGGTTTGCCCCAGGACGGATAGTAGGAGTGGTGCCATCCCTCGGATCACTGTTCCATGGAGCAACTCCTTCGGCTCCTAGGCAGGGACATCTCCACATCCGCCTCCATTGTGGCTGTGGGCATAGGTGTGGGCGACCTAGCCCTGGGGGGAGAGTCTTGAATTTCCCCATCAGAAATTGACCCACGCTGAAGAGTTGGAAGCAACTCAGCAGGAAGGTCAGCCACACGTCGAGGGGACCCTTGAGGGGTGACCCTCATAGCCGCCTGGAGCACCGGATCAGGTGGAGTTGGTACAGTGACTGTCGCCAGTACTGAGGGGGCCGTCAAACCTGAATCACGGTGTCGAGTGCGCGTCATGTCCTTCGACTTCTGTGTCGGTTTCAGAGGCTTCTCCTTCCTGGCTTTCTTTGCTGATTTATCAGATTCAGCATGCTTACGCTTCTCGCGCTTCTTCTTCAGAGAAGCAGGTGGAGCCCCCATGGTAGATGTGCCTTCCTCCGAAGGGCGTGAGGGCGGAACCACCGTAGCAGAGCCAGGCTTCGGAGCAATGACGAGTGGGTCAGACTGCATGAGAGCCCGATCCCACAGGAGCCTCCGCAGGTGATTCTCATGGCTTTTCCTGGCCTGCTTAGAGAAGGCCAGGCAGTGAGAGCATTTGTCAGTCCTATGCCCCTCCCCCAAGCAAAGGAGGCATAGGTCATGCGGGTCGGTTGGAGACATCTTCGACCTGCATTCCGCGCATTTGCAGAAAGCTGCTTGCTGCACCATCGTAAGAAAAGAAGAAATAGAAGACAGTGCAGAGGGTAAGAATATATTTTTGTTTTCGTTTTTTTTAAATAGAAGATCGAAAGAGAAGGTAGAATGATAGAGAACTATAAAACTAACAAGAACTATAAGAACTAGCAAGAACTAACAGGGGTATAACAACTGGGAGAATAATCGAGAACAAGCTAGACAAGCAACGGTCAGAGCGATAGCAAAAGTGGCACGAGGCACAGTAAACGGCAGTTGCAAAGACTGAACAAAATGGCAGACGCTCCGCTCTTTATAGGTCATGGGGGAGGGGGAGCAGAGCTTTCCCGCCAAAAACCGTTAGCTTGTAATCTTCCGGCCAAAGGCACTGCGCAGGCGCAGCACCCATATGTGTGATGCACAGAGGCCACGACGAAGAGGAACCAGTTTCCTCTGTCTCGCCTCATATGGCTTTCCCTGCAATCCAGCCACCATCCTTGTGGCCCTACGCTGCACTGATTCCAACCTGCCTATATCCTTCCTGTAATGTGGAGCCCAGAACTGAACACAATACTCCAGTTGTGGGCACACCAGAGTTGTTTGGATGCTTATGAAGACTAGGTTTAGAACATGTCACTTCAATTTCATATCAGTAGTATTAGCTACTACTTCCAAACCTCATGCAAGTGCTGTTTTTGACCTTTAAAATCTAAAATTATTTAAGACAAAGTGGGCTACCCATATGAGTCTTGAGCTCAGCTATGGAGGCTTGCTTACAGAGCTGCCAGTGGGTACAATCAGGCTATAGAGGATGCAAGACAGTAGTGACTCTCCCTATTTACAGAACTCCCTTCCTAGAGAGATACATTTGGGCTTTTTTCTTATCTGAAATGAATGAATTTCTGTTTCCATCTATTTTTGTTTGTAGTTGATTATTTTAGTGCATGAAAATGGGGGTTTTGTATCTCCTCCATCTAACCATTTAAAAATTTTACTTAAACAGTGAAGAATGTTAATCTATAACCATGCTCTTTCTTGTAGAAATACCTCTTCTACTGGGAGACTACTTTGAAAGATAAATTCTAAGCTTGAGGAGAGCTTTTCCTAGTGGAGATGTGTAAAAATAGGTTTCACCTGTTGAATTTCTGCCTGTTGTTCAGCTGTTATGTGAGCACCAAATAATATCAGATGTGCCTTGCAAAGTAGTTCAGATAGTTCAAGTAACCAGCATAGTCAACACAATTCAGGATAGTGGAGCAAGCAAATATCTAGAAGAATCCTAGGCATACAAAACAGAAATATATGTTTGAATACGAAAACTCAGGTATAACCTTCTTTCTCCCCAAGGCAGGATAAGTAATAGAATTGTGTCCACCTATGTGCAGTGCTAATGCTACATGGTCTCTGATTAAATGTCCTGTTTCTGGAAATCCTCAGAGTGTTTTTGGAGAGCATATCTAAACAAACAACATTATAAGACTAAGAAGATACCAAACAACTCTGGCATAATGTTGTGCAGAACTATCAGTCAGGGCTGTGCTGTAAAAATAAAAAATATAAAAATATGAGCATTTTCTGCATCTATTCCACACATTTTGTTCCATAATATGGAATGTATGAAGATTACACATAGAGACTGGTCCTTATGTTGGCCTTGCATGCCATTCTTTGTGGAAAGGTGGGATAGCAATGTAAGTTATGAGTAAATGCCTCTAAATGCAAAAATGAAAACACAGATTATCTTGGTAAATTTCTTGGAAAGAGTGGGCCTTGTTGAGGATATACTGAATTATTTAAGAGTTATGCTTTTGGCAAGCAAATTAAATACAGTCATTCCTCAATTTAAGCATATGACACCACTGACATCTTCAAATTGGGGATCAGAGCTCAAATGTTTTCAGAATGCTCTTTCTGGGAAAAGGGTAATGAAGTTCAAAACAAATGTTGACTATGAGCAAAAAATGCTTCTATCCCTGTGCCTGAATGCAACCCAAGGCAAAGAAGTCAAGACACTGTAATGTGTTCAGTCAAATGGAAAAAACAAGTTTGCCACTTGAGGATAGAAGTTATTTGGAATGCTGCTACCTGGATGGTTGTTTCCAGAGGGGCATGGCACTTGGCAGGTTTTGCTTGGTGTTATGGTGAGATTTTGCAAGCATCAAGTTGCTTAACATATGCGCAGAGTAGTAAATGATGATTATTCACATTACGTAACCAAGGGGAACAAATAGTGGATGATTTGCGGCTTAGCTCTTCATATTAGCATGGCGCTATAAGACTGGATGAATCACGCAATGATTTTCTTCTTGAACAACCTCTGATTCAATATGATTCTGATCTTAGGGACCAATATAATCTGCTTGCACTAAATCAGGTCTCCCCAACTTCAGTCTTTAGATTTAGTTGAATTACAACTCCTGTCATCCCCAGACAGCATGGCTAGTGGTTGGGTGATAGGAGTTGCAGTCCAACAACAGGAGAGTGATGGTTGGGGAAGACCCTGACACATGACATTTTCTGTAAATTTGTGTCAGTAAATTGACCCCCACTGCTTGACAGAATAATCTTTACGATGGTAACACAGATAAAACAATAAAAATTGCTCACCTGTCCATTTTTCTCAAGTTCCATTTCAACTATTGCCACAGGGCTATTTAACTGGTTAATGTGTCTTGACTGTGACTTTAAATCCACTCTCCAACTTATGTTCTTCAAACTATTTTCCCACGTGCTTTGATTTATTAGGCTCTCTCGAATTTTCATTCTGTGATTCTTCCAAAATTTTGCAATAACTGCAGCTTGATCAGATGTAATACCTCCTGGTTTCTTCGTCTGTGCAGTCAAAAAGGTCTCCAGTTGATTTGAATCCATGTCAGCTGAGGCTATTGACTGAAACAAAAGGAAAATTGTATAAACTGCATCAAAATACAGTGATAATTAAACTATGGAGTACAACTTTCTAATACCACATAAAATATTAGCCTCCACTATTCCTTATTCTTGCACCAGATGGAAGCCTGGAGTGTATTGTCAATGTGTAGCACAGAGCTGTACAGTCAAGAATGTAGAAACAATGAGAAGGCATAAACCCTTCTTCACATATATTAGGTTGGCTCACATGACACCCTACATCACTGGTGATCCAAAGCAAGCCTGATGGCAGACAATTGGAACTGCTATGAGTTGTGCCCCCCTCAGTCCTGTGGCTTGCTTCAGCACATATTTCACAGCACTCCATGACAAACCCCAACTTGTCTCATTGCCTCGATGCCTTCCCTACTCTGATCAATAGCTGCTTTCATTCCTCAGCTTTTGAAAATGTGTTTTTCAGAGCTTCATAAATGCATGATGGGCATCCTAATTTTTATTTTATTATTTCTGAAGGCCCTTTGTAGATGCACTCTTATGGCTATTCCCTATGTATAACCGTGCTTATGCATTTCCTTGAATGCTTCAGTTTTCAAAGGGAGCTGAGAAGCCGTGTAGACTAATTTGTGCACAGTTGCAAACGACCAGGGAAAAATAGTAAAAGAAAGGATAGACTTGGTACAAGTCAGAAGCACTGAAAATGGGCGTGTGTGGGGTGGGGAGCCAAAGGAGTAAGTGTCCCAAACCCAGAAGGGGAAGAATAACATCTTCTCCTTGACAATGTGCTACTTCATCTGTTGTGTGTGGAACTCACAGTTCTTAGTTCCCTTTACCTTTCCAACACTTCCCTGATATTTCTGCGAAGGGAGATATTAAACAGGACAGAGCAAATGGGGAACTAACACCAGCAGTACTTATACTTGCCTCCCCCAATGGGTCAACATTCATTCAGGCTCATTCAGCTGCTATGCGTGCATGTGTTCGCACACATGTGTAGAATAATTAGCAACGGTGCAAGTAAGTGCAAAAAAGAGCTGCATAAAGGTGGAGGAGTGAATCTTCATTCTGCCAAATAACAGAACAAAACCCTAACACTGTCTGCATTCGGAGTCATTTTGTCACCCCAGTCACAATTGCATCAAGCAAGGGAAATAATGCATATGCAAGGCCTTTCTTTATTTGACTAAACAGTTCCCTTAGAGTGTTTGAATCAGTATAAGAATAGATTTCATGTTTTGGCCAGTACAAATAATTTGAGACTTAAATGCTTATTGCAGAAATACATAACAAAGTCTGCAAAACAGTGCTTGACCTACTGACCATCGATCTGCATAACAACAGTTAATCCTATAGACTTCAAATCTGCATAAAAAGCTTTCTTTCAATGGTTTTTAGTATTTTTTGCTGGAGATTTTTTTGCTCTAACTTCTGGCTGTCAGAGACTGGGATGACCTGCGGTTAACCTCCTCTTCTGCCTTTATTTTGAACCCTTTATTTGTGATATAAAGTATCTCACAGAACTATTCTTATGCAACTACTGCAGGGGTCCTCAAATTTTTTCAACAGGGGGGGCAGTTGAAAGGCAGTGGTGGAGGGCCCAGGCCGATGAGGCGGCGGCAGGCACAGGTGAGGCAGCGGTGGGGGAGGGGGTGGCTTGCTCACTTAGAGAGGTCCGAGCGAGTCCAAAACCATCTCTGAGTGAGTGCGCGTGTGTGGCGAGGCAGGCGGCGGTGGGCGCGGGAAGTCCAAAATCTCTGAGGCAGGCCGGATAAAAGAGCATGGCAGACCGGATCTGGCCTGTGGACCCATGAACTAACTGTGGCATCCCTCCTCTCCCAAGCATGTTTTGGTTTATACAAAGAAAAGTGTAAAAGGTAGGAGGCTGCAATTTGGGAAGATGCTTTACTACTCTTTGATAATGTCCTTGGAAGGAGTAGATTGTTGGCTTACTTCTAGGTAAATTACAGAACATAATGTGACACTGGGGTATGTTGGTTACCCTAACATGCAGAATGAAGGCAACTCCCCTTTATGGACTAGAGAAATGTTGAAAAGAACTGCCAGTTCAACACTTAACATTGAGAGAACTATACAGTGGTGCCTCAGCTCACAAACACCTTGGTTCACAACCAAATCGGGTCACAAACAAAAATTTCATGAAAATTTTGACTTGGGTCACGAACTCCGCATTGGGTGGCAACCAAGATCGTGGCCATCTCCCCCGCTCCCCCCGAGTGGGGAGATGGCCACGATCGCAGTTGCATTCATGCTGGGAAGACATAGAGGAGCTGACGACGGAAGAACTTGCTTTACTCCAGAGTGAGCAGCAGAAGGCACTTGCTGAGGAGGAGTCCACTGAGGAAGAGGAAGACAGGGAGGAGGTTAGCAGTGATGTGATAAAATCCATTATGAAAAAATGGAATGAGTGCCAGGATTTCTTTGAGAAGCACCACCCCAACATAACTGTAACAAACAGAGTGTTGAAACTTATGAACGATAACGTGGTCTCTTATTTCCGGAGGGTTATGCAGCGCATGAAAAAACAAGTGACTATAGACCGATTTTTTCACCAAAATTGACCCTGCAGCTAAGAAACAAAGAAGAGAGGAAACCCCTGAAAGAGATCTCCCCAATGTCCTTATGGAGGGAGACTCTCCCTCAAAACAATAACCAAAACAATGACCCCCAGCTCCAGCTGGTTCTGCTCACGACGTACCTACCATGTGCATGATAGAAACATAGAAAAAGAAGAAAAAACATGCCTTTGTTTTCGTCTCAATTTTGGCATGGAGGAGGAGGAAGGTGGCTTTCCTTGTCTATGAAAGGTTTCCTTGCTAGATGTGTTGGGGAACATGCCAAAAGGAGAGAAAGGGGGTTGTTCTTGCTAGCAAGTTGGAAAGCGGATTGATAGTATTATGGGTATTTTATGCTCAAACAGAAAAATGGAAGAATTATTAAAAGCTCTTGAAAGACAGAAAAGGCATGCCAATACTCTGCCAAGGGCAGTTTCAGTATATGAAATTCAAAGTCACTCCATCGGCAGGAAAAATCATGGCCAGAGTGTTTTGGGACTCAAAGGGAATTTTATTGATCGAGTACACGAAAAAAGGTGAAACCATAAACGCAGCATCTTACGCAACCACTCTGCATAATTTGAGAGAAGCAATTAAAGAAAAAAGGCAGAGAAAACTGACTGTTGCTTCTTCATGCCAACGTGCCCGTTCACATGGCACGTGTTTCGAAGGCTGCTGTGCAAGACTGTGGTTTCGAAGAAATAAACCACCCACCCTATAGCCCAGACCTGGCTCCCAGTGACTACTACCTATTCCCGAATTTAAAAAAAGATCTTTGTGGAAAGCGATTTTCCGACAATGAAGAGCTCAAGGCGGCAATTAATGCACATTTTTTAGACAAGAAAGAAGGGTATTTTTTACAGGGAATTGAAAAGTTAATTTCTAGATGTAATAAGTGTATTGAAGTTATGGGGATTTCAATTTATTATTCCTTTTTCTTCATGCTGATACCGAGAATACATTGAATGCCCCTCGTATTATGCCTTTGTTTCTTTAAAACAAATGTCAACTCATAAATCAGCTAACAAAGTAATTATAATTTCAAAGGCCACTTCCATAATGGAAGAATAATTGATAAACAAAATGATTTTGTATAACCTAATTGCTTTATTAGGTTGAAAAGGAAAGTACCTAGCACATACACAGGAAGAAATACTGATATAAACTCATTAAGTTCTGAGAAATAGAGTAAGACAAGCAAGTAAGAAAAGTGAAAAAGGGTAACTGGCAAAATCCAGAAAGATCCTCACTTCCAGAAAGGAATACAAGGGAAAAGAGGAAGCAGCCTATTTATAAAAATAGGTTTAATTAAGATTCTTGTAGCATAGTAATTGTTGATACCTTTTACTGGAATCTTTACATGCCACGGGACAGAGATGGAATGAGAGAAAGCACAGAAACAAAAGCTGTATTTGAGAAAGGATTCTAATTATACCAACTTTCAGAATAAAGCACTCACCTGATTTGTCTCAGTGCAGTAAAATAATCTACTGCAAACCAAATTCTGAAACTATTCATAGTGTCCCAACATTATTTATTACAACAGAAAGAAATGCAAGCACAGATCTGGTTCGCACATAGCACTAATCTGCTAACTCATACATTCCTGAATTCTGGATTAACATGAAGTGTGAACCCAGTTGCACTAAAAACCATGGTTGAATATGAACCCAAAAAGAGAATCCAAGTTTGTTGTTGGGTTGAAAACTATGGGTTGCATAAACCAGAGACCATTGTTATACACGAACCCAGAACTGTTCATGAGCTCTTTTGCCAAACTACAGAAGAGGCAGGCAAAAGTGCTTAAGGAAGGGAAAAAACCCTCTAATCACTTTACATGCCAGAAACACAGCACGCAAAAGCATGTGGGATACAGAGAAGGTGCATGCAAAGGAAGAAACAAATTACCTAGAGATTGAGAACAAACCATCATTTGATTGTCTGCCAGACAAGGCAAGGATTAACTATAGGTTAAATAAGCCATGAGTTTTGTGCAAACCAGGTTAACATCTTTAGAAAAAATACTGGGGTGTCCCCAGTAGTAGGAAACAGCCCATTTAGTTTGATTAGCAAATGGTACAAGGGAGACAAGAGATTGAAAGCTCCAGTCCTTTCCCAAATGCTTACCCTAGCTCCACTCACCAACTGTGCTTGGGATAAAGAACCAAGAGCAGCTTTACCATCTTTTGAAATGGCCATCATAAAGAACAGAAGCAAAGTAATGGTGATACAAGATCATTATCTTTCTTTCAGTCACCTCCAGTCCTTCACAACCAAGACTGTTGCCACAGGAAGAACAAGGCTTCCTCTTCCCAATATGTTCCTGTTCCTTTCCCGCAGAACCAATATGCCTTCTTAGGTCTGAGAAGCAGTTGAAGAATAATTTTCCTGGCTCCAAAGGCAGAAGCCTCCACTTTATATATGCATTTTATATGCTGTTTGAGAGAA